GCTTCCTTATCGGCTGCTTGGCCAGAAGTGGCAGTCCCGCTCCACCACCGTGACCCTGGCAGTGGCTGACCTCGGAAAAGTTTGACTGTGGCCTTGGAGCGTTTTCAGTCCCTCCCGAGACCTAGGGTCCCGGGAGGTGGCTGCCTTCCCAAGGGCATGGCGGAGGGGGGGGGGCCTGCTTGGCGCCCCTCGAGAGTCACCGGAGTGTCTTGATTAGGCGATTTAGTGGCTTTCCAGGCTGCCAGGCCCTGTATTGTTTGTGGGAGAGCCCTCCTCCTGGATGTGGTCACTCCGAGGAGGGGCCCCACGCCCAAAGACACCAGCACAGGAGTGACCTGTACCCACCCTCCCCCGCTGAGCCGGCCCCAGTGTTAGCCAAGGTGCGGTTTGCAGCGGTGTGACCGCCCTCAATGCGCTGGCCCAGAGCCTGAGCTCTCATTGGCCTCCCCCATCACTCAGCCACGGTCCTGGGAGGCGCTGAGCTGCAGTGGCTTGAGAGGGGCCCGGCCGGCCGGCGCGGAAGGTTGAGGCAGTCCACAAGCTCTCCCAGCTGACCGCAGCGCCCAGCGGCTCATCAGGTTCCCTTAGGCCCTGTGTCTGTGCTAGTGGCTGACTCCCTAGCCCCGGGGAGTTAACCCCTGACTCAGCCCAGCCCGTCAGATCCAGAGTCGGGTTTTTTCCTGGGTCATTCTGACCTCCCTGCTGCTGGGTAGGTTCGCTCTTTCCTCAAACGGACCGGACCTTCATGGGCTGTCTTGTCCACTGCTGGCCGGACTTCGTTAGGTACCGGGTTTAGAGAGTCCACGTGGCCAGAAACCTGGGGTCTGGGGCTTCAGAATCTGCCGGAGCTCTGGCATCTCCGGGTCGGCCTGTCCTGGAGTGGTGATGACATCTGTCTTTTTTCTCCTTTGCCCTTCCTCCTTCAGATGCGCTGAGATTGCCTTTGTTTTCACGCCTCTTTCAGAATACGTGTTTGTCGTTCTAGGAGAACGTGTTTGCCGGGCAGTCAAAGATCTATGCCTACATGAGTCCGAACAAATGCTCTGGAATGCGCTCCCCTCTTCAGGAAGAGAACTCAGTTGCACATCACGAGATCAAATGCCAGGGGAAGCCATTATCTGGGATCTACAGGAAGCGAGAAGGTAAGCCCTGAAATGGCCCCTGTTCTGCCTTTAGCTCCGCAGGTGTACACACACACACACACACACACACACCCTTCCCAGGGCCAGGTGTGAGGGAGATATTAACCATGTTCCTACTCACTAGTGAGAAGCAAACACTGGTGGAAAGGGTAGGATGTGTCAGAGAGCGTGTCCTGTGGTCTGACAGGTTTTTCCGACTTTCACAAGAGTTAGCAGCATATCCTTCAGGCATGTCATGCAAAAAGAACACACCCGGCCTGCACTGGGAGAGGCTTGTGATGGTTAAGAATGCAGGAAAAGTTGAGTCCCGGCTGTACAGAGCAGGCGACTGCGGTGTGAAGTAAGCTCAGGGGATCGACTCACTTTCCTTGTATGGCGGGCCCTGACCCCATTTCTACAGTTTCTTTCCATTCGAGTGTCCTGTGTTACTTTCCAAAGCAGTATGCGCTGTGTGTGAGATTTGGAATTAAATACTGAATATAGGCTGGTGGCCGGGCTCAATGGTAAAATACTTAACCTAGCATGTGAGACCCTGGATTTGATCCTGAGCACTTTACCAAAAAGGGAAAGGAATGCCTTTGATCCCAGCACTCGGGAGGCAGAGGCAGGTGAATCTCTGTGAGTTCGAGGCCAGCCTGGTCTACAGAGTGAATTCCAGGGCACGCTCCAGAGCTGTACAGAGAAACCCTGACTTGGGGAAAAAAAAAAAAAAAGGAAAGAAAGAAAGATTAAATCAAGAATGCATGGTTATTGGGAAATTCTGTGAAAGCCAAATCAGGATTGCAGTGATTTCAAAGCCTGACCTGCAGGATGAGACTTTGTCCCACCCCACGGCCCAGAATAGGGAGGGCTGGGATGTGGCTTGCCTAGCAAGTGTAAGGCCCTAGGTTCAACTCCTGACACCGCAAAAAGAAAACTCTACTTAGCCCAATACCAAGGCAAACCCTCCAAGAACCTTCCTTCCTTCCGGATAGTCCCTTTCCAAGCTTTAGTGGGGAGTCTGAGGCTCCTGGCCACCCCCACGCCTCATTCCTGCTGGCTGCCGGCGGCTTTATAGGAGAAGAAAGCCGTGTATGCCCTGACAGAAACGGTCAGAAGTGCTAAAGGCCCAGCTCCCAGGGCTGTGCCTTCGGAAGGGGCCTACCCCTCAGCTGGATTTTCTTTTCCACCCCCATGCACAGGGCTCTGTTGTCTGAATCAGTCTCAAAATAGCTTCGGTTCTAACCGTAACTGCCACTTGGAAGGAAGGAGGAGGCTGGGGCGAGCTGCAGCTCTTTTGTGAGCCCCGATTGTCACATCTGTCAGTTGAGAGAGAAGGAATCCTGTCTGGCCCAAGTTGTTACATCATGGGTGGTGAAGGGCCTTTGATGTTACCGCTACCGGCTGGACCACACTGCCATCACCACGTCTTTCTTCATCCTTGTGCCTGTAGCTAATAGGCGGGCATCTGCCACCCAGGCGTGGGCAAGGGGCTGTCTGAGGCCGCAGCCGCCCTGCATCCCTTCCCAAACTGAGCAGAGTGAATGTTGTCCATATGGTGTTGGGGGCTCACAAGCCTGCTTCCTGGTGCCTAGTGCTGCCAAATGACGGCGATTAGAATTTGGGGCGGCATGTACATCGGGAGTTTCTGAAAAAGGTCGGGCTCTCGCCCAGTTGCCCTGCGGCACAGACACGTGTCACAGGTGTTAACGGACACTGTGTGCTTACTCCCAGGGTTACGCCTGCCTCCTGCCAAGAAGGGAGGATGGAAGGGTGTGGGGTGATCTGGACCGAGGTTTTGTTTTAGTTACATTGATTCGTTTTTTGTGTGTGCGAGTGTGTCTGTGGGTGGATGTTTCTGTGCCGCCGCTGTGTACGTGCGGGGTTGTGGGGTTCACAGGATTCAGTTTTCTCCTACCATGAAGGTCCTGAGGATCAAATGCAGGTAATTAGGCTTGGTGCCAAGTGCTTTTACCTGCTAAGCTATCTGTCACCTGTCCTCCCGGCTCCCCATTCCTCAGCTTTTTTTATGCCTGTGCTGGGGACCCGAACTCAGATCCTCGTGTTTTTGTGGCAGTCACTTTACTGACTAAGCCAGCTCTTCAGCTCCCCACGTCCAACTTCCTGGATGCTGTTGATGCGTTTCTTTTTCCTCTTTTGTTCATTGAGATATAATTTAGATATCAGGTTATTTGCTTATTTTGTAGAGCTGGGGTAGAACCCAGAGACTTGGCACATGTAGGGAAGCATTCTACCCCTGGGCTACACCCCAAACCCGAGTCTCCCCCCACCTCCCAAGGTAATATCTGTAGCCCGGGCTGGCCTCAAACTTCCCGAGCAGCTGAGGATGGCTTTTAACTTGTATTCTCCCCCCACCTCCCAAGTGTGCTGGGGTTACAGGCATGTGCCACCATGCAGGCAGGGTCTTGGCTCCTCCCTAGTGAGCTGTACATCCCCAGCTCCAGCGTGTGCAGTTGCGTGGTTTCTAGTGTCTGCAGAGTTACACGACCACCACCTCTGTCTAAGTCCAGGACATTGTCATCGTCCCACCAAGCACACACCCACGAAGACTGACTTTGCATTCCCCATCCCCCGCAGCCCTAGGCAGCTCGGAACCTCCTTTCTGGGCCTGCAGCTCTGCCTGCTGTGGACTGTTCATGCAAATGAAGTCATAGGCTGTGGGGCCTTTTGTGGCTGGCCTTTTCACTCAGAGACTGCCCATGTTGGATGTAGTGTGTATCGACGCTTCATGCCTTTCTATGGCTGAATCATAATCATTTCCCGTGTGTAGACAGACCACATTTTGTTTAACTATCCATCCACTGATGGGCATTTGGGTTGTCTGTCTGTCTGGCTAGTATTCATAAGCTACCACATTTCATGTACAGGTTTTTGCATTGACATGTGTTTTTAATCACCTTGAGTAGATGTCTGAGTGTGGAATTGCTGGGTCATATGGTAATTATGTGTTTAATTTTGTGAGGAAACCGCCTAACTTTTCCAAAAATCGCTGTGCCGTCTCATATCTCTGGGTAGTATCTTCGTTACTTACTTTAAAAAGTAAATCGTTAGATCCATTTTTAAAAATAGCGTGGTTCACCAGCACAGGGCTTGCACACTGGTATCAGTAAGGCCGTTAGCCGTGTGCCTCATGACGGGATGCATGCCAGTCTGCCCAGGGGCCATCCCGGGGAGCCTGGTGCTCCTACCTTGTGAGAAAGAGGGTTTGTTTTGCTAAGCATCTGAAGTGACGCATGCCAGGCAGTGAGGAGGGAAAAGAGTTGGGGCTCTGGCTGGGCGGTGGTGGCGCACGCCTTTAGTCCCAGCACTCGGGAGGCAGAGACAGGCGGATCTCTGTGAGTTCGAGGCCAGCCTGGGCTACAGAGTGAGTTCCAGGAAAGGCACAAAGCTACACAGAGAAACCCTGTCTCAAAAAACCAAAAACTAAAAGAGTTGGGGTTCTGTCCCCTCACTGCCCGGCCCATCAGTGCTAGGTAGCTCTTGCTTTGAGAATTGAGCTTATTTCCTGGGTTCTGCAGCCCAGTGTCTGAAACCTGCAGGCCGAGCACCCAGGCCCGCATTACCAGCCACAGTTCTTCACATGGCTATAGGCTGTCTCCTCTGTCCGCCTACAGAGGGCCACTTCCTCTCTCCAGCGTTCGGTCAAAACATAGGTCCAAGTACTTCTTCTGCCTGATTGGCTGTAGTGGCCACCGGCTCCAGCCCCTTCAGGACACTCCCGTGATGCTGTGTCTTAGAACACAGCCGATACCAGTGCATAGAGTAAATCCCTGTTCCCCACCCAACACCCACTGCAGAGAAAAGAAACGCTGGGAATACAATCCGAAGCTCCGGGAAGTCCGATGAACAGAAGATCAAAGACGCCAGGAGAGGTCCCCTGGCACCTTTTCCAAACCAAAAATCTGAAGCAGCAGAACCTCCAAAAACTCCACCCCCATCATGTGATCCTACCAATACAGTGGTTGCCAAGCAGGCCCCGAAGAAGCCCCTGAAGGGCAAGCAGGCCCCTCGGAAAAAGTAAGTATCCTGGGGCCCTCTCCTACCATAGAGCCTTTGGTTCCTGTGGCCTGGCTCGGGTGCCCGTGGTGGTGTAGTCCACTGCCAGGCCGCTCTCCCGAATCATCACACTTCTGGTGTTCCCCTGTATCTGTGTGCTGGGTCCAGGGGTCAAGGCCTGGCTCTCTGCCTCTTCCGCTGGAGAGGAGCGATGAGCAGTCCTTGAAACTGGGGCCCACCTGGGTAGGGGAGCACAGGTGCAGTCAGGTCCCAGAGGGCAGGAGTGGGGGTGGGGGCAGGGCAGCTTGTGTTTACTCTCCTCTTCCTCCTCCTCCTCCCTCCCCCAGGTCTCAAGGGAAAACACAGCAGAATAGAAAACTCACGGATTTCTACCCGGTGCGAAGGAGCTCCAGGAAGAGCAAAGCCGAGCTGCAGGTAGGGTCTGGTCAGCTGCAGCTGGGAGGGGGAACTGGGCGGCCTGTGGGTTCTGTGCGTAGGTGGAGCCAGGAGTGTGTCTTGTTCTTCCTCTACCAGAGCCTTCCCGTGGAGCAGGAGACTGGTTTAAGACCCCATCTGGGGAGCTTTGCAACCTGTCCCTACCTCGGCATAGAGAATCAGGTTCGCTTTTCCAGGGTGTGTGGCAGGGCTTTGGAACCCGGGGGAACATGGAGGAAGAAGTCTGTCTTTTTAGGAGGTCTCTGCCATCGAGAAGTTTCTAAAGGACAGTAACTTGGAAGTACTTACTGATGGCTGAGCTTAAGCCAGACACGCCTTGATGAAGTACACTCTCCTGTCTGTGACATAGAGGGCAAAGGCCACGCATGAAGACATCACACCTGCCTAGTATTCAGGACAGAGTTGGGAGAACTGATTTACGTTCTAATAAGAGCGGTCTGGTCTGTACAGCAAGTTCCAGGCCAGACAGGCTACATAGCAAAACCCTGCCTCAGAAAAAGAATAAAATTGTTGCTGGTGAGTGGTTATAAAGACTAAAGAAATAGATTTGTGATAGATGTGTGTGGATCCCAGGACTCACGAGATCTCCAGTTTGAGATCACCCTGGGTTACATCATAAAATCCTATCTCAAAGCAAAACACACAAATCAAATGGCTTCTTGAGCTAGACACACATAGCTCAGTCGGAGTCCATCCCTGTATATACTGGAGACGGTGGCTCCTGTCTATAATCCCAGTGCCGAGGAAGTGAAATATAAAATAGCTAGAGTTCAAGGCCAATCGGGGTGTGGTAGCACACACCTTTAATTCCATCACTCCAGAGGCAGAGGCAGGTACATCTCTGAGTTTGTGGCCAGCCTGGTCTACATAGTGAGTTCCCGATAACCAGGGCTACACAGAGAAACCCTTTCGCAAAAAACAAACAAAACAAAACAAAATAAGAGCACAAGGCTAGGTTACATAAAGAATTTGAGGCCAGCCTGGGCTACGTGAGCCTTCTTGTTCTATAATGATGTGGGAGTGCAAATGGCAGTTAGCTGAGACACTGCTCTCTTTCTCTCTCACACCCACACCCACACCCCTTGGGTCCAGTCCGTGTGGCCCCACACCTTTGTGTACACAGTACCCAGCGGGGCAGCCTGTCAATATTTGGTGCAGCGGGGTGTGGTCATTGCCTCTCTGTTCTGAACCCCCAGGGTATGGCCAGATGCCTCCTTGCTCCCACTCATGTGCGGGGTTTTTTTTTTTTTTTTTTTTTTGACTCCGGAGGCTCCGGGTCCCCTCCACACAGGGAAGAGGGGACTGACTGGTCCGAGTGTTCCCTCATTTCATCCGCTGCAGAGCTGCCCTCAGCATCGGAGACAGCAGCGAGGCAGGCAGAGCTACAGAGCTAGGTCATCCTCTATTCTTTTCATCGATGCAGCTTCATTTAAAAAACAAGCCCAAGAGAGGGGGTGGGGAGGGTCTGCTCCCCCCCCCCCCTGCTTCCCCGATCGCTTTGGCTTTCCTTCTTGTGAAAGGCAGTATCCTTTGGCCAAGAATGAGCTGTTAGGAACACCCGGCCGCCGGCCGTGGGAGGCTGTGCTGGGTCACTCAAAGACAGCCTTGCAGAGCGGAGGAGGGAGGTGCCAGGCCACAGGGCCCAGAGCTCCTCCCAGCCAGGCAGCAGCCCTGGCAGGCCCAACAGGGCGGTTGGGGGCTGCTGGGTGGGAGCCTCCGAGGCTGTGTGCTGAAAGCCAGGCTCTTGTACCTGGAGGACAGAGGCTGTGGAGGGACATGGGTGACTGCAGGTCACCTACTTCCCGTAGCAGATAAGCTGCAGGCGGGGGAAGGGTGCCCTGTAACTAGACAAGGAACCGGTACAAGCGAGAGCCACGCTGTGCCCCTCGCTGTTTGTCTTGGCGCTGCTGAAAGAGCACCGTGCCCCTGCTGCTGGCTGTGCCAGTGAAGCGCCAGCTGCCCTGGGTCCATGTGGATGTGACTGCTGCTGGTAGGGTCTGTGTTCTCTCGACTGCAGAGAAAGCTGGATGGAGCAGCTAGGCCTGTTGGGGGGGGGGGGGGGGGGGGGGGGGGCGAGAGTGGGAGAACAGGGGGGGGGGACACGTTCTTCCTGACCAACTCGGCTAGGCTGGGGACTGAGTGGCTGGGGGGGTCAAGAGATACCATATGTGACCAAGTGGCCAAGAGTGAAATCAAAATGCCAAGTTCTGGGCCACCTCTTGGAGTTGAAGAAAAAGCTGGCAGGGCAAAGCCAGGTCCAGAGTTCAGAGCAGGAGGGAGGGATTTGAGCCATAGTTTGAGCACAGAGCAAGCCATTAAGGTGCTCCCAGCCCCGTGGCTGGCTGGCTGGCTGGCGGCTGGCCTGCCCATTGGTCGGTGGTGACAGCACCGGAGCAAGAACCATAATAACTGTTGGCGACGCCCTGGCTTCCTTCTCCTGCTGATATCACCTGAGGACTGTAAGGTGCCCTCCATCCTTCCTGTCCACCTTTACTCAGGCCTTGTCTAACTCCACCTGCCTTCTGGCCTGCTTTCCTGTGCCTAAATTACCCTTGAGAAACCCAGGACTGGCTGTTGACAAGCCCCAGACTCCTGGCCTGCTTCTCCTCGGCTCAGAAGGGAAATCCCCAGGTGCCCACCTGGGTTATCCCACACCTCTTCCAACTGCCGTCCTCACTCGACACACGGGGGGGGGGGGGGACGGGGGACACACACTGATTAACTGCCACGTGATGTGTGTCCGTCCAGAACTGCCGACCTCTGTCCTGGCTAGGGGGTTCTGTGGTGAAGAATCTCAGCCCCTGTACTCAGGAACCATGGACTTGGGCAGCTGGTGCCACAGAGCAGCACTTAGAGGCCTTGGCTGCGTGTGCATGAAGCCCCAGGTGCAGTCAGCAGTCCTGCCAGGAAGACGGAGCCCAAGGCCCCTCGGTCCCCAGGAGTCTGCAGTTTGTCAGGAAAGGTGTCAGGACAGCTCTGCAGCAGAGGAGGAAGCAGCAGGCAGACGGATGGGGGAAAGGTCGCTCCAGGCAGGAGGGCGGCTGCTCCAGCGCCTGGAGGCTGGAGACCTGGCTTTCTGGAAGAGCCGGCTGTATAGCTGGGGGGGAGGGGGTGGGGGAGGGGAGGTGGGGAGGCTTGTACCTTGTCCATAAGATACGGAATCTTGTGCCTACATAAGAAAAGGCCTGGCATGGTGACACAAGCCTTTAATCCCAGCACTCAGGAGGCAGAGACTCAACTGTTTCAAAACAGTTGGTGAGAAGGTATAAACTAAAGCAGCACCTGGGTGAGCATGGTGGTGTGCTCCCATGGTCTCATCACCCGGGAGTCTATTACAGAGGGCTTTGAGTTCCTCAGCGCAGGGTACAAACCTAAATCTAAAGTTTTCAGTGATTCTTGATCCAGAGAAAAATGACGGAGGTCATGCAGATGCTTCCCAGGGACCTGTGTATCATTGACATCTTGAGTCCCTCAGTAAATTTGTCACTCCCGGGGAAGCAGCATTGATGCTTGCTGTTAGCCGAACACACTGGAATGCTGGGACTTTGCTGTGTTCAAGAGGTCCAAATGTGGTAGTGCATAACTTTAATTCCTAGACTTGGGAGACAGAATCAGACCTCTGAGTCCAGCCTGGCCTACCTGTCCAATTCCAGGGCAGCCAGAGTTACATAGAGAGAACCTGTCTTTAAAATAATAATAATAAGCCGGGCAGTGGTAGCGCACACCTTTAATCCCAGCACTCAGGAGGCAGAGGCAGGGCGGATCTCTGAGTTCGAGGCCAGCCTGGTCTACAGAGTGAGTTCCAGGAAAGGCGCAAAGCTACACAGAGACACCCTGTCTCGAAAAACCAAAATAAATAAATAAATAAAATAATAATAACAACAACAATGATAATATATTTTCAAAAGGCTCCTGATATTAGGTAAAGAATGGAGGTCGGGGGCTGGAGAGATGGCTCAGAGGTTAAGAGCACTGGCTGCTCTTCCAGAGGTCCTGAGTTCAATTCCCAGCAATCACATGGTGGCTCACAGCCATCTACAATGAGATCTGGTGCCCTTTTCTGGCCTGCAGGGATACATGCAAACAGTACACTCGTATGCATAAAATAAATAAATTAATTAAAAAAGCAGAGGGAATGGAGTCCAGAGTTAGAGTAGAAGCTTTGAGACTAGGTATACCGGTAGCTGTCCCCCGGTCTCATTCACTCATTGTCTCCATCACATATCTCGGCCTGTCTGAGTGTGGGTGTGGACTGAGTGACTGGCCAGCTGTCTTCGTCCCAGGCTCTGTCTAGCCAGGGTGTGATTTCAGCAGGCGGCATGGTTTCCACAGATGCCATCTGCCAGAAGCTGCCTCCATGCTGGTGAGCCAAGGTGATTTGGGGCACCTGGTACCTCTCCGGAGCTCTCTCTTGTTCCCTAGCGTCCTGTGTAATGAGAGGCCTCGGTGGGACCCAGGGCGGCTCCAGGTAGGAGCAGGAAAGCTTGCCCCGTGGGAGTTGCCCCGGCTTCGCTGTTCTTGGGAGGCACAGACGCAGCTCAGAGGTGTGAACGGACGCCTCCAAGGGAACTGTCAGTCAGCTGGGGGGGGGACAGTGGAGCCAGATGCGTCCTGCTCACAGGTGCAGCCTGTAATCGGCCCCTGGTGATTCATCCATTTATGTGTTTACTTGGTAGTGCTGGGCATTAAACTGTACGTGAACGGGCAGCATCTCCTTGGTGCCCTACCCTCTGCCCCCCCCCCCTTTTTTTTTCACTTTTTTAGTTTGTTTTTGAGACATGGTTTCTTTGTGTGGCAGTGGCTGTTGGCTGGCCTGGAACTCACGGAGATCTGCCTGCCTCTTCCTGGGGAATGCCGGGATTAAAGATGTGCATCCCCAGGTTGCCCTCAAATGTGCGCACGTCCTACCTCAGCCCCCTGAGCAGCTGGGACTGTGGGCATAGGTCACTGTGCCCAGTTCCTGGGTGATGAGGATTTCACATGCAGTCAGAATCCAGATTTTCCATTCACTCGCTTGCTTGAAGCTGGGATGTTCCTGTGCCTGTGCCGTGGTTTGGGTGTGGTGGTCAGAGAGGACGTCTTGAAGTTGGTTCCCTCCTGTGTGGGCCTGGGGATCAAATCCAGATGGTCGGGATTGGCAGCAAATGCCTCTGCCCACTGAGCTGCCAGCTCTAGAGTCCTGATGGATTAAACATTTTTTAAAAGTACTGTGCAGGACAAGCATCATGTTTAAGGCTCTGTAACAAGTACCTGAGGTAATAAAGCTTTATTCTTTGTTCCTGTTTTAGAGGCTTCAGTCCATGAACTAGCTGACCCCTGTTGTACTGGGTAGGCAGCGCATACATCATGGAGGATCACATGAGACAAAACCATTGCCTCATTGCTGAAAATGAGACTAGGCAGGAGCTCCACCCTCTCATACAGGGTGCAGTCCCAGTGATGACCGCTAGGTCCCACCCCTTAATGATTTCAGCGCCTCCCAATGGCAGCACAGGACATGCATTTCTCACAAGGACCTTTGGGAGACACTTAAGATCCAGACTAGCTGGGTATGGTGATACCCTCCTATAATCACACACTCTGGAGACTGGGGCCGGAGGATCAAGGCCAGCCTGGGCTGACACGAGGATTCCCCGTCTCAGAAACAAAGCCTTAGGGTATAGCAGGCCAGAGCAGTGACCTTCCTGTCCCCGGCAAAATTAGATGACTCGCTGCTCACCAAAGGTGGGTGAGGAGAGGTGTGCTCAGGGCTCTGGTGTCACAGGCTGGCCTCAGCGTGGTAAGCGAATGCTAACGCTGTTCTTTATTTCCTCTCCACCCAGTCTGAAGAAAGGAAAAAAATCGATGAGCTGATTGAGAGCGGAAAGGAAGAAGGCATGAAGGTGAGGCCACAGCATGGAAGCGCCGTGGTGGAGACCTCGCCACCGAGCTAGTGGTCACTGGCACTTATACCCCTTTAGGGTGTCAAAGGGCCACACACAAAAGCTCTTGTGAGGCAAACGTGTCAGGAAGGGCACGCAGAGGCATCATCCGGGTTTTGTGTGTAATGGGTAGGTTTTTTGGGTTTGGTTTGGTTTGGTTTGGTTTTTTCGAGACAGGGTTTCTCTAGCTTTGGAGCCTGTCCTGGACTAGCTTTGGAGCCCAGGCTGGCCTCGAAATCACAGAGATCCATCTGGCTCTGCCTCCTGAGTGCTGGGATTTCAGGCGTGTGCCACCACCGCCCGGCTAAGGGTGTTTTATTTGTATGTATGTCTGTGCACCACATTTGGCAAGGTGCACACAGAAGTCAGAAGAAGGCATTGGATTCCTTGGAACTGGAGGTTCGTGGTGGACCGTTAGGACCCACCTTGTGGATGCTGAGAATTGATCCCAGGTTCTATGCAAGAAGAAGTGCTCTTAGTCACTGCACTGTCTCTCAGCCCCATTTTCAAATGTAATTTTTACAGAGGATTTCTTTTTATTATATGTGCACGTGTGTGTATCTTCCGGTTTTATGCGAATGAGGTGGCCTTGCCCACAGAGGCCAGAAGAGGGCGTCAGATCTGTTGGAGCTGGAGTTACAGGTTGTTGTCAGCTGCCCGGTGTGGTGGTGTGGGTGCTGGGAACTGAGCTGGGTACTCTGCACGAGCAACAAGTGCTTTCGACTGTTGAGCCGTCTCTCCAGCCCCGGGAAGAACTTTTTTGGGTTGTTTGTTGTGTTTTCGACAGGTCTCGTTCACTCTGTAGCTCTGGCTGTCCTGGAACTCACTATGTAGACCTGGCACATAGGCCACCTCTGCCTCCAAAGTGCTGAGATTAAAGACGTGCACCACCAGGCCTGGCCCTGGGTGAACTAAAAAGGGCGCGGTGGGGTAGTGGCACAGGCTGGCATCCCAGCTGCTTAGGAGGCTGAGGTAGGATAGTTTCAAAATCAGGCTGGGCAGTGGTGGCGCACGCCTTCAATCCCAGCACTCGGGAGGGAGAGGCAGGCGGATCTCTGTGAGTTCAAGGCCAGCCTGGTCTACAGAGCAAGTTCCAGGGCAGCCAGAGCTGTTACACAAAAACCCTGTCTCGAAAAACCAAAAAGAAAGAAAAGTTGTAAGGTCAAGGCTTGTCTATGGAGTCAGTTCAACCCAAAAAGAGGCCTAGGAATGTAGCTCAGTGATAGAATGCGTGTCTAGCATGGGCAAAGCCCTAAAGGAAACAGCAAACAAAAGATAAGGAGAAGATGAAGTTTATTGTAAACCGTTTTCCCCATGGCCAGGCCTAAGGCACTTGCTTCTCTCCTGATGGGTCTTGTTTTCTGATGGTGTTGGGGGCTGAACCAGCACTGTGAAGGCTTAGCCTGTGCTACATCCCAGGGCCACACTCAAACTCTCAGTGTGTTCTACACACGTGAGGTTTGGGTGAGGGGGAGTACCTCTGTACTCCAGTGGGTGGTGGCAGAGGCCTCTGGCCTAGGAGCCGAGGGTCAGACCCCTCCCTTTCCACCTATAACCTAGACTCGCAGACTCAGTCCTGGGCCCCTTGAGCAGCCATCCATTCTGTGACTCCATTGTAACAAGTGTGAAGGGAAACACCAGAGGTTATTGATGGGTCCCAGGATTTCAGGACACTGGGCCCGGCTCTTCCCCCAGGAGCAGAGAGCCTATGGACAGAGCCCCCGCTGTCACCATTTCCGAGCTTTGTGGTCTTGGACCCGTGACTCTGCCTTTCTGAGCCTCAGTCTTCTCATCTGCAGAATGGTGTTTTGCCCACTTAGATTCCGGCTGGAAGCCTAACGTGAAATGTACTTTGTAATGGACTTAAAGGAGCTCTTTTAGACAATGGGATGGGAATGACCTGAAGCTAGACCTGGTACTTTTAGTAAAAGCCATTAAGCCAGCCAGGCGGTGGTGACACACGCCTTTAATCCCTGCACTCAGGAGGCAGAGTCAGGCAGATCTCTGTGAGTTCAAGACCAGCCTGGTCTACAGAGCAAGATCCAGGACAGGCACCAAAACTACACAGAGAAACAAAAAGAGAAAAAAAGTCCATTAAGCCATTACACAGTGTGAGTGGGTTTTGTTTTTTTATTTTATTTTATTTTTGGTTTTTTGAGACAGGGTTTCTCTGTGTATAACTTGCTGTTGTGGAACTTGCTCTGTAGACCATGATGGTCTTGAACTCACAGAGATCCACCTGCCTCTGAGCATTGGTGTGGGTTTTATTTTTATTGAGGCCCATCCAATAAAGTTGGTTTAAAAAAAAAAAAAAAAGCCCAAGCTCCCCCCGGAAGACACCATACCTAGTGACCCCCCCACATTTATGAACTCACGCTGTCTCGTCACCTCCTGACAGATTGATCTCATTGATGGAAAAGGCCGGGGTGTGATTGCCACAAAGCAGTTCTCCCGGGGAGACTTTGTGGTCGAATACCACGGGGACCTCATTGAGATCACCGACGCCAAGAAGCGGGAGGCTCTGTATGCACAAGACCCCTCCACAGGCTGCTACATGTACTATTTTCAGTATCTGAGCAAAACCTACTGGTGAGTACACTGTGTGCGTGCCGAGTGGAGGAGAGGCAGAGAGCTGCTGCCCTGGACCGCTCCTGAGCCTCTGACCAGTTGCCTTCCTGGTTACCATTAGATCGGGTCTCAATATGTAGCCCGGGCTGGCCTCAAACCTACCCGTCCTCCTGCCCGGCGGGCTCTTGCGCACTAGGGTTGCAAGTGTGAAGCGCTATCTATGTTCAGTGAGGTGGGCTCCTGTCGCCTCCCCAGTTGGGTTTTGAGATTGGAGCTGTCCTCGGGCGGGAGGGGACTTATCCCCTAGAGACCTGCTCGGTGGTTCCCAGAGCCTCTCCCTCTGGGCATTTGCCTCAGCATCTCTGCACAATGTCATTGTTCCTTCCTGGCCAAGCCTAGGGGAGCTGATTCTTTTAAATCTGTTTGTGTGTGTGTGTGTGTGTGTGTGTGTGTGTGTGTATTGAAGCACTACAGTTAACTTACTTCAGCTCCATGGAGAGTTCTCCGTGCAGAAGTCTCTGGGCTCTCCCAAGTAGCCTTTGGAATTAAACTGTCTTCCTCCAAGTGAGGCTGCCAGTCGACATTCCACCCGAGTCCCCCACGGCGCAGGGGCCCAGCCGGGTTGAAAGGCTCTTCATCAGCGTAACCCCCTTTCGCTCTCCCACCACACCAGCGTGGACGCCACTCGTGAAACGAACCGCCTGGGGAGGCTGATCAATCACAGTAAGTGTGGGAACTGCCAGACCAAACTGCACGACATCGACGGTGTGCCTCACCTCATCCTCATCGCCTCCCGAGACATTGCAGCTGGGGAGGAGCTTCTGTACGACTATGGGGACCGCAGCAAGGCCTCCATCGAGGCCTACCCATGGCTGAAGCATTAACCACGCGGCCACCCCGCCTCCCCGCCACCCTGCCTCCTTCAGAGGACAAAGTGCCCTCAAAGGGAAATGATTTTTTTTTTTTTTTACACACACTTACTCTTAGCTAAATTACTTCAAATGTTTTTAAAAAAGTATATTAAAGATGCCTTTTCATGTAGTATTTAAATATCTGTTCCAGGTTTCCAAGGTGGACTTGAACAGATGGCCTTATATTACCAAAACTTTTATATTCTAGTTGTTTTTGTACCTTTTTGCATACAAGTTGAACGTTTGTGCTTCCCGCCCGCGCAGTCTAAGACTCGGCACAGGTTTTAGAGAATGGAGTCGAACGTGAACTAGGAAGCTGGGCTCTGCCCGAGATGAAAGCCAGGACTCCCCCGCACCCCACGTCCACGGACAGGCGGGTGTGGGGGTGCTGCCATCCCCCACGCACGGCCTGGACGGGATGTCTCCAAGCTCTTGTTCTCCTCAGCGTCTTGACAGGCGTACACATCGACGTGTATGAATTATTTTTTAACAAACGTTTCGCAGTAAGCTAGTCTTCCCCTCTGCTTTCTCCAAAGCTTACTGAGCCCGGGGCTCGGAGGCCCAGCCAGGAACAGACCTCTTCCACAGGCTTTCGGCTTTTCCAGGCACCTTGAAGCATCAGGGTGGGCAGTCAGACCAGAGGCAGGCCGGGAAAGCACTGTTCTCCTGTCCCAGCGGGGCAGGCCTCCTTGAAACTGCATTAATTCTTTATAGAAATGTGAACACTGAATTTATTTTAAAAAATAAAAATAAAAATAAAAAACCAAAACACTTAAAAAAAATCAAAAAAAAGAAAAAATGGAAAAAAAAACCACAGAAAACAACTTATATGTATATAGGTTTTGAAGGGAGTGAAATGGCTGTGTTTTTCTTTTCTTCTTCTGGGGTTCCTTTATTTTTTATCTTTTTGGCTTGGCTGGCTGGTTTGTGTAGAGAAGATTGGAGATGGTACTCTATTCTAATCAAAAGTAAGGTTTTGTAGTGGGACCAGAAATTACTAAGCCCATACACCCCCCTCCCCACCCGCAACCCCGATTCTGCTGTGTGGAAAGTTTTCTACCCGCTGTCCAGGCAGAACCCCTGTATCCTGTGAGAATGGTGCCAGCCCAGGTCCCCTGCCAGCATCAGGCATCAGATGTGTTGGCTCTAGGGTGCCTGGCAGCCAGAGATCCAGGATGAGAGTTAAGTTCTTACCTGTGATGATAGCAGAAGTAGATGGCTTCCTTCTCCCTTCCCGGGAAGGACTAATTCTAACCATTCACCTTCAGTCCAGGGGCTGGGGCTCTGGAGCCCGGTATGAGAACCTACCCTTGTCCCCAACACCTCCCCCTATCCCCCCAGCCTCAGGATGGTGCTACCTAAGAGAGTCTTCCCCACACCCCTTGCTAGCCCGGTCAGTGGTCAGACTTGGAGGAGGATCCGAAGGAGGGTGTAACTGTGAGAGAAAATGTCTTGGTTGTACCTGTTTGTGGCTTAGCTTTGTATTTAAATAGCAAAGAAAAAAAGGAAATAAACTTGAAAATTATTTGTCATCATAAAAATAAAGCAAAAAAATTAAAATATTTATTGCCAGGCAAGGCCACCTATGTGTTGTTCATTTTTTATGAGGTGGAGGTAGACTATAATAGGAGGGGGAGATGGCTGGTTCAGTCTGGAAAGGTTCTCACCACCAAGCCTGACTACCTGAGTTCGATCCCTGGAACCCACACATGGAAGGAGAGAACCAATTCCCGTAAATTATATTCTGAGCTCTCCACATACTGTGGCGTACAAGTAGAGAAGACCGTAGCATCTAACTTCCTGTTGAGACTTTGAGGTCTGTCAGAAGGAGCCAGAATTCATGCAGCCTTTTTAGAATTTGGTTCCTGATATATATTCCTGATATATTTGACCTATATAAAGGGGGTGGTCCAGAGGGCTCTTGGGAACGTTAAGGGATGCATATGGAGCCTCTGAGTAATGACGAGCATGTCGCAAATGTCCTGAATGGTAGCTAATATGATTGTCTTGTTTTGAGACGTGTCCCAGGCTGCCCTGGAGCTGCTGTGTAGCCAGGTATGACCTTGAGCTGATATTTATGTCTCCATCTCCCTAGTGCTGGGATCTCAGGTGTGGTCGCATGTCAGTTTCTTCCTGCTGGCTTTAGTAATAAAACCAGAAGTACTTTTGCACACTTCTGAGCTCAGAAACCTTGAGTCCCCTTTGAGTCAGATCTTTGGTATTTCCTTTAGTCTGTAGAGACTTCGCCTCCCTGGCTGACCCCTCACTTGGGTTCCATGAAATACACATGAGCTGTATGCCCTTAGGCATATGCCCCATCTTAAATAGACCACTCTGAGACAGTAGTAGAAAGTATAAAGGTCATTTTATTTTAATACAAAAGTCCTATAAAGTTGTATGAGAAAAAACAGCATTCACCAAATATCAGTGAAGTCAAGTCCATATTTTCCCACTTTATCATCTCTCTCTCTCTGCCACATGTCAATGACCAGATTATCACTGAGGCTGGACCAGGCTGTATAGGCCAGAGGCCTCTCCATGTGTGGAGGCAGGATGTGGCCATGTTGTCTGTCCCTTTGCTCTTCGGAGTTCTTGGAGTTGCCTCACCTGTCATGGCCAAAGCGTGGTGGCTGTCCAGGTCTGTCCCTAGGGAGCAGATGAGTCGTGAGAACATCTTCTTTTGACTACTCTGGGGGGAACCAGTGAGCAAGCCCAGAGCAGAAACATGGCACAGAATGATAGTTCCAGAGGACATCCTGGCAATTGTCTTCTGAGTCAGAGGGTCACCATAGCCATGGCCTTCACTCTAGGTATGCTTCCCTGACCGGAAAGAGAACCTGGGTAGAGGGAAAAAGGAAGAGAGAGCAAGGTGAAAACCACGCTCGCAGGCCGTGGCCTCAATCCATTCGGAGGCCTGTGCGATGTTACAGTGGGCAGAGGCGCTTGCCCCAAGCCTACCGTAACAACCTGAGCTTGATCCCTGGAACCCACGTGGTGGAAGAAAAGAATTGACTGTCTGACCTGCCACACATCTGGAGCACCAGGAAACAACCAAATCCATACATGTAATTAAAAGTGAATTTGTGCTGGGTAGTGGTGGTGGCGGCCCACACCTCCAGTCCCAGCACTTGGGAGGCAGAGACAGGCAGATCTCTGTGAAGTTGAGGCCAGCCTGGTCTACAAATCGAGTTCCAGGACAGCCGGAGCTATAACACAGGGAAACTCGGTTTCGAAAAACCAAAATAAAGTTAAAAAACAGAAACAAAACCAAAACCTTTTGTTCGGGCCTTCTAATGAGACAGCATTGTTCTAGATGTTTCCATCTTGGGCTTATTTCACAGTTACATCAGTTCCACAGACAACCTGATTAATACTCCCGTTTTACAGATGAGCCATGTGAGGTCCTGGGAGATTGAAGAACAGGTCAAAGTGGGTAAAGTGAGCAGCTGGCTTCCTGACTCCAGCTAGACAGTGGCCTCTGCTTTCCATTTTTTAGGGGTTTTATGGTAAAGATAAATTACTTTAGGGTAAATGGCTTTTCACTATCACCTATAATTTTAAGACAATTCTTTGCAAAGAAGATCACGTAAGAGCTGTTAAGACTGATAGCCACCCATGCAGGGTGGTGGTGGGGGGGCGCACACCTTTAATCCCAGCCCTCGGGAGGCAGAGGCAGGCGGATCTCTGTGAGTTCGAGGCCAGCCTGGTCTACAGAGTGAGTTGAGGACAGTCAGGGCTCCACAGACAAACCCTGTCTCAAAAAGACAAAAGACTGATGACCACCCAAGCCACACAGGTGAGTGCACCCCCATCTCTGCTGGCCCTGTCCACTCACACTGGGCACAGAACCCTTCCCTGGCTCCTGATTATTCTCAAGACAAAGATAAAAATCCTTAGCCTGACGGACTTTCAAAACGTCACCTGTCCCCGTCCCCCCCCCCTTCCTTCCTCCAGTTTAGTGAGCTTATCTGCTGTGAATCTGCAGCCTCCTGGCCACAGACATTTTCCTTTTGCCTTATTTGGCCTACATGCCAGTGAATAGGCTTGAAGAATTCCCAAAGGAGAGGCTGAAAGAAACCAGTGGGTTCTGCCTTCTTGAGGCTCCATTTAGACCAAGATACACAGAGAAGGGAGAAATACCCGCAGCTTCCCCAGAAGGCAGACAGCAGAGCGCACTGTGAATATGGTCATGTTACTTAAGAGCCCCATTTTGCTCCCCGTGCATGAAGAACGGGACCTCGAGCTGGCTGTAGTGGTCATGACACACGGCTGTAATCTCAGCACTTGCCGATTGTGCAAGAAGGAGGATCAGTAGTTCAAGGCCAGCCTGGGCAACTTTTAGTGAGATTCTGTCTCAAAAAAAATCTTTCAGGCCCGGTGGTGGTGGTGCACGCCTTTAATCCCAGCACTCGGGAGGCAGAGGCAGGTGGATCTCTGTGAGTTCAAGGCCAGCCTGGGCTACCAAGTGAGCTCCAGGAAAGGCACAAAGCTACGCAGAGAAACCCTGTCTCGAAGAAAAAAAAAAAAATCTTTTAAAATGCAAAAATAAAAAGAGGCCTGGGAATACAGTTCAGTGGTAGAGGATATGATTAAACTCTAGGATAAAGGTGAGTGGGAGAGAAGGGAATCTCAGCTCAAAACCAGCCCTGGTCTATATAGCAAGTTCCAGGGCAGCCAGGGCTACATAGAAATACCCTGCCTCCAAAATAAATAAATAAACAAACTAAGGAATGCTAGGTACACAAACAAAAATCTTCCCCAGGGAAGAACCCCCAAATCGGCTTTTCAATGCCACTGGTCAACCATGAGATGATACACATACAAGTAACATGTAATGGTGGAGGCAGGTTCTACTTATGTATTTTGTTTTGTTTTTTGAGACAGGGTTTCTCTGTGTAGTTTTGGTGCCTGTCCTGGATCTCGCTCTGTAGACCAGGCTGGCCTTGAACTCACAGAGATCCACCTGCCCCTGCCTCCAGAGTGCTGGGATTAAAGGCGTGCGCCACCACTGCCCGGTAGGAGTGTATGTTTCTGTGTGTATGCACTGGCTGCTCCAGAGGACCCGGGTTCAATTCCCAGCACCTACATGGCATCTCAGAAATGCCTGTAACTCCAGTTTAATGGGATCCAATACCCTCATACAGACATACATACAGGCAAAACACCAGTGCACATAAAATAAGCATAAATAAATCATTTTAAAAATGTAAAAATGGGGGCTGGAGGGATGGCTCAGCGGTTAAGAGCGCTGGCTGTTCTTCCAGAGGTCCTGAGTTCAATTCCCAGCACCCACATGGTGGCTCACAACCATCTGTAATGAGATCTGGCGC